CACACACACACACACACACACACACACACACACACACACACACACACACACCCTCTCTATGAAGCCAACAGGAATAAATTTTGTTTTGAAGGAGACTTGACTTATTACTCGTCAGATATGGCTGTTTCCCATTTAATGGGGAACCCCCATATTCGGCATCTGATATAGGATAACTGTCTGTCTTGAGTTCATGGCAGACTGGATCAGCTGTTATGCTAAAACAAATGTTGGCCTGGGTCCAGCATAAATGAGTACACTGAAATGAATAGACCTTAAATTGGTCATAGACTACTTTTCTCAGATTTCAATGGCTCTTAAACGTACTATGAATCTGCCTCTTAACTTCAGTGAACACTGAGGACGGCAACTGGATTTGCAACATGGACTGATTTATCTATGTAGCAAAACTCCTCCATAATAGTAGCAAGATTTTTATTCTGTTCGCAATTGTTTCCAATTCTGTTCTCTCCTTAGAGAATATATAACTCAGAATACCTGGCTGAGGCCACCTTTGTGGCTTTAGGGTTGCCAACTGTCTTTTATATTGTATCTTTTCTCTGAATTTTGCAATGAAAATCCTGGCTTAAAATTCCATGAAAATAAAATATAAATGAGGAAAAGATGCAGATAAGAATCTGATCATCATAAGCAGGTGCATACAAAAACGGTGTATACAAAAAAAAAAGTTCATTTTCATAATACCATACCAAACCTTGCTAATGCAGAAATCAGGTAGGACAGATTTACAACTGAATAAAGGCAAAACAACTATGACTAGAGAAAACATGGTACATTTATATTTGTCAAACACACATATATACAGCAATAAAATAGAATAAAATGCTACATCAGCTTCTCTACAACTGAGCATTTTGCAAAGCTAGATTAGCTACTAAACTGCGCCTTCACTTTCTAATACTGCTGTCTCTTGCTTTAAAAAAAATAAACCTAAATCTAAATTAAAAAATTTAAATTGCCTGCATTTTACATACTGCATTTGTGTGAACAAAATTGTCACATTAAGCAAACTAACAATATTAACCTTAATGATCCCATAACAATATTTAATTAATAGCTATTTCTGGAAAGTGCTGGGGTATCATTAGGCCTCTGCCAATTAGCTTAAGCCTTACACTATAAATATTTTAAAAGTAGGCAAAGAAACAGGGGGAAAGTCTTCATATCTGTGAAGATATCAGTATCAAGATACAGTTCAATATTAGGAAAGCCTTCTATATCCTAGTGAGGAAAGGAAACAACAATCTTCAAAAAAACACAGAAATGGGCAGATCTATGATAAGAATACCGTAAGTAAGGCCAGCTACATCTGAGTGGCAAGTAAGATATTTGTTCACTTACCTCCTGAAGAGCAACAGGTTCTAATCCCAGAACATGATGGATGGCAGTTGTTTCTGAACATCTAGAATTAGATAGCCAAGAGGTAGATCAAGCTCTATTGGTAAATTTTTAAGCAATTTGCAGCAGATCACCAAAGATTTCTGACTCCTGTTAGATTAGAAATCCAATGTGTGTGTGTGTGTGTATGTTTTAAAGGACTCTGCCACAGATGACCATCACGTCAATTCACTGTTCATCACGTCAATTCACTGCCACGGTATTCAACCATTTTAGTATTTGGTGTCAGAAACTGGGGCATGTAGAACATCTGTAGTCTTGAATGCAGAAGCTGATGGAAGTTGGGTGTAGGATGTGATTGTCTCCATTCCCAAGTCACACTTTTATACTTGTCTCTGGTTGATGGATTTCTATTAAAACAACAACAACAACAAAGGTTCCCAGAAGCCTGAGACAACTCAGCCCAATACAGAAGCACATCTGGTCCTGATTTACAGTTTTCTTTTCGCCTCTAGCTTTTAAGGAGTGAGAGACCTCATCTTGGCACCAGTTACGATTCACAATGAACAATACATACTTTCTTTCCCTCATTTTGTTACTGGCTCAAGATGAGATAAGCACAGAACAATGATACACATTTGCTCAGCTGCTACTGAAAAATGTGTCCTTCGAGGAAGCTGAGCTGTGATGCTCGGTGCATTGTTTTTATTCCACTGCTATAAATCTATAGACATTTCATCTCAGAAACAGATTTATTTTTAAGCCAGCATCTAAAGGCTTACTCTATAGATGCTCAATGTTAGTGAATCTAACTCAGTAAGTTATTTTTACTGCCATTTAGAATTCATTCTACTCAAAGGAAAAAAATCTGACCAGTCAACAGAGCAGGGATCCATAATTTTTCAGATAGTCCTCTACTTATAATCACAACTGAGCCCAAAATTCCCATTGCTAAGCAAGACAGTTGTTAAGTGAGTTTTGCCCCATTTTGCAACCTTTCTTACCCCTGTTAAGTGAATCACTGCAGTTGTTACATGAGTAACATAGTGCTTAAGAGAATGTGGCTTCCCCATTGACTTTGCCGGCCAGAAGGTCGCAAAAGGGGATCATGTGACCCCAGGATATTGCAACCGTCATAAATATGAGCCAGTTGCTAAGCACCTGAATTTTGATCACGTGAGCATAGGGATGCTGCAAAGGTCGTTGTGTGAAAAAGTGGTCATAAGTCACTTTTTTCAATGCTGCTGTAACTTTGAACGGTCACTAAATGAATGGTTGCAAGTTGGGGACTACCTGTACACATTTAACTTTTCCATATTTGGCTTCACAATGCAAGTAGGAAATGAAATACAGTATAAAGGCAAACGAGCATGCTGGGTCAATTCAAATGAAGATTGTGGTACGATTGTCTAATAACTTGGGAAGCATTTGCCCAGATACATCCAACAGGCACATGCTGAAAATTGCACAAGTTGCTATACGCTGTGTGTGCCTGCAAGCACCGAGAGGGCACCGAGCGAGCAGGTCCTGTTCCATTCCACACTGAACACAACTGAAGCCTGTTTTTCAGTGCAGAAAAGCTGCTTTGGCTCCTGGATGCCTCCCTGCACAGATGGGAGCCACCTGCTGCTCCTTCTGTAGGGCGGATCAGGCAGCCAAAGGTAGCAAACTTTGCTTTAGTCTCAAATGATACACAGTTGGTCAGAAATAGGTTATTTCTGGGACTGAAAAAAAAAATGCAAGACTGGTCAGAGAAATGTGCACCTTCCCAAATACCCCTGAAAATGCAGGTGGTCCTTGACTTACGATCACCATTGAGCCCTAAATTTACATTGCTAACCAAGACAGTGGTTACATGAGTTTTATGGCCCTTTTCCCACCATTGAGCAAATCATTGCAATCATGGGGTCATTAAGTGAAACTGACTTTCCCACTTCGCTTTTTTTTATTGGAAGCCTGCGGGGAAGATTACAAATGGTGATCACAAGACCCCAGGACAGTGCAACTGTCATAAATTCATGCCAGTTGCCAAATGCCCAAATTTTGATGAGGTTAGGGCTGCTGCAAGAATCATAAAAGTAAAAAACGATCATGTCTTTTTTCTCCCGGTACCGTTGTAACTTTGAATAATTGCTAAACGAATGGTTATAAGATGAGGACTAGATGTAGATATCCCGCCTCCCACAAGCTGATCCATATTCTAACAAAAGTTCTTCCTTCTTGAGCTTGTTTCCCAACCCTGAGAGGAGGCTTCTATGACTAAGGACCAAACAAATGGGACTTCAAATAAATAAATCATTATTTCTGTAATTCCCAGCCTTCTCTTTAAACACTACGCAAGACAAGGGCCGTGTTGCTTTCTAGCATACATTAAAATTGAGAGTCAATGAAAGCCATGTGCTGTCCACCAGCCCCAGGAACCCCAACACAATATTAATTGCCCAAAGGAAAGAACCACTGCAAAGAACTGCTACTTTCTTGCCAATCCTGGTAAATTAGATACCATGTCTCTGAAAAGCCAGACAACTTTTAAATAACATCCCTACAAAGGAAAGCAAATAATCTGTTTCCTGTCCATTTTAGGCTTTGCATGTGATCATTCTAGGTCCTGGCTCTGCACTTTTTAAAAACAAGCTGTATAAAAATTGACACATATACTGAAATGCGGTGTACAAGGGACGTGGTGGCTCAGTGGCTAAGATGCTGAGCTTGTCGATCAGAAAGGTCAGCAGTTCAGCGGTTTGAATCCCTAGCGCCGCGTAACAGAGTAAGCTCCCGTTCATTGTCCCATCTACTCCCAACCTAGCAGTTCGAAAAATAGAAAGTAGAAAAATAGGGACCACCTTTGGTGAGAACAGTGTTCCGTAGACCTTGGGCATTTAGTCATGCCAGCCACATGATTACGGAGACGTCTTTGGACAGCGTTGGCTCCTCAGCTATGAAACGGAAATGAGCACCGACCCCTAGAGTTGGGAACAACTAGCACATATGGGTGAGGGGAATCTTTACCTTTACTTTACTGAAATGCACAATTTTAGAACATGTTTTTTTTCTTCTTCACAGAATACACCAGTCTAAGTTTATTTATTAAAATGCACTTATTTACTTTAAAATGTAATTCATGGTAAATTATGGGTGCCCAAATGCATGCTGCTCTGCTTTTTGATTTGCAGAACTCCGAAAAATGATATTTTAATCTGTACATAAATCAAAGACTTGCAAAGCAGATAGTTTGCATTGCAATTCATAAAGATCATAAAGCATTGCTATATATCAGCTTGCCACAAGCCTAAGCCTGGTGAATCTGGATACCAATGACAGGTTTATGAACTCCCAACACATCTGGAGGGCATTTGGTTGGAAAAGCAACTGCTATGCACTGATATTTTTGACTCCAAGTTATCAACTTATGGGATGTGGTACCAAAAGTGATAAGGGACAGCTTGTAGAAAGTATAACTAAATATAGCAAGAGTCAGAACTGTGCCAAATTTGTATGTCCTTTTGAATAAGCAATTCAAAGCAAGAGTAGCATGAAAAGCAAATGTATTCCGGGTGTTGTTTTTGAAAATTATGAATGGATTTGTCTCTTTTAAATTGGTTTCATTTACCCCTACTTCCCCCTACTGTCAAATCTATTGAACCGCAAAGAAGAGTGATCTCATTCCTGCACAAAGTCATTTGAAATATTCTATCTATCTCATGATTAAAAGGAAAGACATAATAATGAAAATGGGTGAAGGTTGCCAATTCCACAACAACGGCTGAAAGCTGGAGGGGAAGGCAAAGTAAACATGGCCTCACTCATTTAGACAGACATGCTTTCCAATGAGCTACTGTATATTCAGTAGCACAATTAATATAGTGGTTAAAGTGTTGGACTAGGAGTGGGGAGACCCAGGTTTGGGGGAAAAGCATCTAAAACAGGGGCGTCAAACTCGCAGCCCACAGGCCAGGTGTGTCATGCACTGGCCACGCCCACCCCCACTTTACCGAAGGGGAAAAATTGTGATACATCACGTGGTAACAACGTGCCGTCCCAAGTTTGACACCCCTGATCTAAAGCAACACTAAAGTGGCATGACCAGGTACCTGAAGCCCTGCCCCCTTTTACATCCATGTAACATGGATGTTAACAAGAGGCGNTTGGTTGGTTGGGTGGATGGCTGGTTCTTTCCTAAAATATCTTCTTTTGGGTCACTCCTAGAGTCATAACTGATTTAGGATTAAACTGCTGAGATACAAACATTTTCGCCCATTTCCACTTTCCTTTGCCAAGCTGGTAGTTTGTTTGGCAGTTAGAATTGCCCTTAGTCAATTAACTTTGCTGTAGCAAATTGTAGAATTGCAAATCTAGACAGCTGTCTGAGTCAGCAAAGTTCTGGTATTTGGGGCATCTTCTGTTTGAAATGGCAAACAGGCAATTGAACATTTTTTGCAAAACAAAACAAAACCAGTATTATAATGAGCTAGAGAAGGAAATTTATCATATTTACGTCAACAATAGAAGTTGATGGTATCTTGTAAAACCTATATTTTTCCATAGCTATTTTTTGCATTACCAATTACTGGAACAAGGCAGTAAATTGCTTTCTAGGGCTTGGGCTCAGGTTCTTCAGAAAAATTATTATAGTCCCTGACTGTTCTTTGCCTCCCAACTGTTGTCTTGCAGGCCTGCCAAATCAAGCAGCTGTTTCAGCAAAGACCCTACCATCACAATGTCAATGTTCTTGGACCTCATTCAGCACTTAAGCTAAAATCTATGAGAATTTTAAACATCAGGAAATGTAATAGATAAACCAAAATCTTAGGGAGAAAAGATTATTTTCCTGTCTGGACATTAAATACCCTTCACCTAAATTCTACTAAATCGGACAAGTTAATGCTTTCCATTGACTGTTATATAATGGATGGCCAAAAGAAGAGAGATTTGTTTGTGTTAACCGAATTTGTTCCATAATCAATTATAGTTATAATTATAGACCATGGTTACAATTAAGCATGATACTGTTGTCAGTACTCTATGGTCATTATGGATGACGTTCTACAATGAACCCAATTAGAATCCTGCTGACCTAACAAATGTCATAGTATCCAAGATCAAGTAGAGAGCAAGCAATGCTCTACTCCACTTTTCCTTATTTGAGATGGGTGGAACTACAAGTACTTCGACATGCAGAAAGAATAAAGTTTCAAGTGCCATTTATAAGTTTGGTATGAAAAAAAAAGTTGAACAGCTCTATTTCACCTTTTTAAAAATAAAAGAATGAGGGCAGAACCCTATTCTGCCTCAATTTAAGAGAAAAGTTGTATTTAAGACACAATTTTATTTCTTGTGAAAAGGTTATTAATGCATTGAGTAAGAAGTAGACATGCAAGTGCAACTTGTTGAAAAATATATAATTGTCTTC